CTGACGCGTAAGTCAAGCGCCACGATTGTCGTTCACATCATCTTCGCGCCAAAAAAAAAAAAAAAAAAAAAAAAGCACACCACACCCTTCACAAAATTCGCACAAAAGTCACTTCATCTTCGAACGCAAATCGGTATAACTTTCTTTTTTTATTTCTATTTCGTTTCGGCAATTGAGAAAAAACGAAGAAATACCGATCTGAATTCAAGTTCGCGTGTTTCTATATATTCTTTAAAGACCCCGCAACCACCGTTTATATTTTCCTCCCCGTGGGTTCCAGCGCGAAGCCCCGGGGTTGCTGCGAGAAAGAAGTCCAGCCAGCACTGTCAAACACCAGAGACCGACGGGGCGAACCTTCCCCTTGGCCGTCCGAGTCGCTACTGCAGTCTGCTGGCGCCCTCGCGGGATTCCAATAATGCAGACTCCAACTTTTCTCTCGGAGGTTAGACACGAGGTTATAAAATTTTCCCTTGGTATGTTTTTGTTTCTTTTAAATTATTATCTTACCTATTACCTGAATTATTATCATTTTTTCATTATCATTTCGATAGGAAAAGGGAAGGCTAGTGAGGGGATTTTTCGAGGAAAAAAGGGAAAGAAAGATAGGGAAATATGACGAAAGGGGAAAACACGTCAGGATAAACAAAAGACGATCGGAGTGGGGGGTGGGGGGGGATCTTGGCACGTTCGGTTCTGTGTCACTTGCAATCCCGTTTTATTGCGTCGAGTTTGTTATATCAGAACTTTCTTTCCCCCTTTTTATTTCTTTATTTTTCTCATTTCTCTTTGAATTGAAAATGCCTGATAACATCTTTGCTTTCAGGCGACCGGCGAGAGGAGAGGGGAGAGGAGGGAGAGGAGAGGAGAGGAGAATAGTGCAGGGGGGGAGTGGGGGTACTAGAGAAGGGGTGGGTGGGCGGGAGAGGTTGGGGGTGAAGGATGGAGGAGTGTTGGAGGTTAAGGGGGGATTATAGAGGGTGGGGTGATGGGGCTCAATGGGGGGGGGGATATATGGTTAGAGGAGAGAGGAGATGGGAAGGGGAAGGGAGAGAGGAGGGGATAAAGCGAGAGGGAGAGAAAGGGGTGTAGAACGAGGGAGGATAAGAAAGAGGAGAGAAATAAAAGATGGCGAAGGAAGTAAGAGGGGGAGCATAACAGATAAAGAGAGTAAGGAAAGAGGAAAGGGAAGTTACAGAAGAGGGTGGATGGAACAGGGGAAAGAAAGGGAAGTGTTCAAGAGGAAAGGAGCAGGAGGAGGAACAGGAGAGGATGGAGGGAGTAAGAAGAACAGAAGAGGATGGAGGGAGTAAGAAGAACAGAAGAGGATGGAGAGAATAAGAGGAACAGAAGAAGATGAAAGGAGTAAGAAGAACAGGAACAGAAGGTGATGAAGGGAGTAAAAGGAACAGAAGATGAATGGAGTTAGAGGAACAAACGAAAAAGATAGAAGGAGTAAGAACAGAAAAGGATGGAGGGAGTAAGAGGAACAGAAGAAGAAGAAAGGAGTACGAAGACCAAAGGACGAAGGGAGTAAAGGGAAAATAAGACAGAGGGAGAAAGAACAGAAGGGAGTGGAGGGAGCGAGAGCGACCGCGGAGGAGGGAGGGAGCGGAGCAAGCGAGAGAGCGGAGAGGGAGGGAGCGAGAGCAAGCGGAGGAGGGAGGGAGCACAAGGAGAGGAGGGAGGGAGCAAGAGCAAGCGGAGAGGAGGAGGGAGGCGACCAAGAGGAGAGGGAGAGGAGGAGAGGGAGGGGAGCGAGAAGCGGAGAGAGGGAGGGAGCGAGAGCAAGTAGAGAGGGACAGAGGAGGGAGGAGAGCGAGAGCAAGCGGAGCAGAGGAGGGAGCGAGAGGCGGAGAGGAGGGACGAGAGAGCGGAGAGGAGGAGGGAGAGCGAGAGCAAGCGGAGGAGGGAGGGAGCGAGAGCAAGCGGAGAGGAGGGAGGGAGCGAGAGCAAGCGGAGAGGAGGGAGGGCGAGAGCGCAGAGGAGGAGGAGCGCAAGCGGAGAGGAGGGAGGGAGCGAGAGCAGCGTGAGAGGAGGGAAGGGAGCGAGAGCAAAGCGAAGAGGAGGACAAAGAGCAAGCGGAAGGAGGGAGGGAGCGAGAGCAAGCAGAGAGGGAGGGAGCGAGAGCAAGAGAGGAGGGAAGCGAGACGCAAGCGGAGAGAGGAGGGAGCGAGAGGAGGGAGGGAGCGAGGGAGCAAGAGCAAGCGGAGAGAAAGAGAGGAGCAAGAGCAAGCGGAGAGGAGGGAGGCAGAGAGCAAGCGGAGAGGAAGGAGGGGCAGCGGGGGACGCGGAAAACACCACTAAGGCGGAAGGACGAAGCCCTACGCGCCACGAATGAAATGGGATCAAGCGTCTGCGATAAGCGACCTTCGCCGGCGAACGAGGAGAGAGGGAGAGAGGGGGAGAGTAAGAGAAAGAGGGCGAGAGAAAAGAGGGGTGGGTTGTAGAGTGGGAGAGGAAGGGTAGGAGGTGAGAGGAGGGAGGGGGATAGAGAGAGAAGGGAGGATGGAGGAGGGGAGAGAGAGATACATAGAATACATAGAGACAGAGAGATAGAAAATAGACAGGGGAGGGTGGGGGAGAGATAAGGGGGAAGTGGAGAGGGAGAGAGAGGAAGAGGAAAGAGAAGCGAAATAAAAGAAAAGGCAGGGGAAGAAACGGGTGGGGAGGAATAGAAAAGAGAGAAAAAAAGGGGGGGGGGGTTAAGAAAGGGAGAGGAAGAGAAAAAGATAAAGAGAGAAAAGGAGCGGAAGAAAAAAGATGTAAAGAGAGGCAGTGATAAAAAAGAGGAAGAGAGAAGAGAAAGGGGGGACGATTGAAGGATAGAGAGGGAGAGGAAGAGAAAGAGATAAAGAGAGATGGATGAAAGGAGAGAGAAAGAGAAAGTATGTAAAGAGAGAGGAAGAAGTGACAAGTGAAAATAAAGGGAGAAAAAGGGAAGGACAAGTGTTGGAATAGAAAGAGAGAGAGAAAAAAGGGGAAGAAATGAAGAGGAGAGAGAAGAAGAGGAAGTAAGGGAAGGAGAGAGAAAGAGAGAAAGAAGCAGGAGAGAGAAGAGAGAAAGAAGAAGGAGCAGAGAAAGAGAGAAAAGGGAAGAGGACCAGGAGAAAGAGAGAAAGAGAAAAGGAGAGAGAAAGAGAGAAAGAAGAGGAGAGAGAAAGAGAGAAAGAAGAGGAGAGAAGAGAAAGAAAAGGGGAGAGAAAAAAAAAAAGAAGGAGAGAGGGAGAAAGCTGGATATGGGCATCAAGGGGAGAGGAAGAGAGGAAAGAAAACAAGGGCAGGACGGGGGAGAGAGAGAGAGGAGAGGAGGGAAAGATTTAGTGAGAGATAGAAAGGAAAGACGATGATAAAGCATGAAAAAAGGGAGGGGGAAACTGATAATAATAACAATAGCAATGATAATTAGTAATTGATAATTGATAATGATAATAATAATTAATAATAGCCGATAAAAACAATGACAATACGTAATACGAATGATAATAATAAATTATGAATGATTGATAATTAATTAATGATAATCCTTATAATAATAATAATTAACAATTAATCATTAATAATGAAAAGTAATAAAATAAATAATAATGATAATAAAAAATGATGGTGATGCATGATCATAAAAAGTAATGGTAATAATAATATAGATAAGATAATGATTTGTAATAAATTAATTAATTATAAACAATGGATAATAAATAACAGTTATGATAATAACATCATCAAAAACAACAATAAAAACAGCATCAGGAATAATGAAAATAAGAATAAACAAAAAAAAGAACAACCAATAAACATTGGGCAGGGGCAGAAATAATAATAATGATAATGGTTACAATAATAATAATGATTTAAAATAATGTAATACTACTACTTACTATTACTACTACTACTGATAATTAATAATATTAACAATAATAATGAATAACCAAGAGTAAAAAAAAAAAAAATAAAAAAATAACGAATAAATGAATGAATAAATCTTACAGACAGACACAAAATCTTACTCTCCAACCTTGTCTAGTTTGCAGCAAAAAACACGCATGAAATTCTGAGGCTGCCTGCATTGTTTTTTTTTTTCTGTTAGCGACCGTCTTTTGTTTTTCGAGAAAGAAACACGATTTTTCCCGCGCAAATGCTGACTTGTTTATGCCCGAACAAAACTTGCTTTCGCTTTTCTTGTTTTTTTTTTTATTGATTTTTATTATATTATTTTATTTTTTTTGTGTGAGTATATGAATGTTTATTTTATATGAATATGTGGTCGGTATTTTTTTCTGTTTAATGCGAATGTATAGTCTGAATTACCTTTATTCATACTATTACTTTTATCAATATTATTATCATTGCCATCTTTATTATTATCATGGTCATTCTCGTTATTTTCATTGTCATTATTATTATTATTATTATCATTATTATTATTATTATCAATTATCATTATTATTATTATCATAATATTCATTATATATTATTATCATTATTATTATATTTTATCATTATCATTATTATTATCATTATCATTGTCATTATCACTATTATCATTATCATCTTGTATGTTTTGCCTAATCCTGTTTTATCATTGCAACTTCGCTTACATTTCATCCAAAACGAATACAAATACACAAAACTAAAATGCAAAATTCCTGCAAATACATATATAAAGGTCGTTTGTCTTGCCGCTGCACTGGCCGAGATGAAAACAAAAACAAACAAAAGATTATCAGTTTATGAGCATTTCCGGATTTCCGGTTTGCAAAGCGACGCCAAACACTTGCGAAATATCGCCATAATATCAACTTTGAATAAATCACTTGCCACTGCGTTTGATCTATTTCCTAATTCCTTGCTTTTCTTGTTTAAAACAGGGACGAGGTTGTGATATAACTGTGACATATCTGATGTTATAAATCATCAGTATTTTCGACTATTTTCTTTACAATGCGACATCAAAATACACATTGTTCACCAACATACATCCCGCATGGAAGAAAATAGTTATAAATTTGTTATTTTTTCCTCATAACACCTTTAGGAAGAAGAAATTTTGAATATAACACTCAGAAATGAAGGTGAAAAGACGTACTGAAATAACACTGAAATTAAATCATAGAAAAATAAACTACCCACAACATACTAACGTGTCATTTTCAACATCGGAAAATTTAATTAGAGTAAGAATAATGAACCTTTTTAAATCAAACGCATGCATTCTTTACAAGGCACATGCCGGACACCATTAAAAACAAAAAATATTATCAAAACACTCATATAATTGTTTCATTCATTTCGTTATGTCACATTAACTAATATCAATAAAAATATTGCAATTAAGTCTTTAAACTTGTATGTACGAAGCTTTCAAAGATAG